AATTGCTCAGGAGATGTTTCATGGGTTGAGGGCTAATAAGTCTTGTCAAGGGAAATTTATGGCGATAAAAACTGATATGAGTAAAGCTTATGATAGAGTGGAATGGGATTTTATTCAAGCTTTGTTAGACAAGATGGGTTTCGATCCTCATTGGACATCGCTTATGATGGCGTGTATTTCGTCGGTCCGTTATCGAGTACTGATTAATGGTCAACCTAAAGGATCAATTACTCCGCAGAGAGGTTTACGACAGGGGGACCCTTTGTCGCCTTATTTATTTATCCTGTGTACGGAGGCTCTAATTTCTAATATTAAGAAGGCGGAGCAACAAAAGCTTTTGACTGGGATGAAGGTTGCGAGATCATGCCCGGCGATCTCCCATCTTCTATTTGCGGATGATAGCCTTTTCTTTTGTAAGGCACAACCGGAGGAGTGTCATACTATACTTACCATTCTTAAGGACTACGAGGCTGTCTCGGGTCAATTAATAAATTTTCAGAAGTCATCAATTCAATTTGGACATAGGATTGGGGAAGACAAAAGACAAGAACTCAGGGATATTCTCGGGATTCAGAATATAGGAGGCATGGGATCATACCTAGGTCTTCCAGAGAGTCTGGGTGGGTCTAAAATTCAGGTTTTTGGATTTGTGCAGGAAAGGTTAAATAAAAGAGTTAATGGATGGACTTTTAGATTTTTTACAAAGGGAGGTAAAGAGGTGATTATTAAATCAGTGGTCACGGCGTTGCCCAACCATGTGATGTCATGCTATAGGCTTCCCAAGGCTACTACAAAGAAGCTAACAAGTGCGGTATCACAATTCTGGTGGAGTCCGGGGGGTAGTACAAGAGGATTGCATTGGAAGACATGGGATAAATTATGTCTTGACAAAGACGCAGGCGGTTTGGGTTTTAAAGATCTGGAAGATTTCAACACAGCAATGTTAGGTAAACAACTTTGGCGCCTTATTGAGAAACCAAATACCTTGTTTTCTCGTGTTTTCAAAGGTCGGTACTACAGGAATGCGTCACCTTTGGAACCGATCCGATCATACTCCCCGTCATATGGATGGAGGAGTATGATTTCAGCTAGATCTCTGGTTAATAAAGGACTTATCAAACGGGTGGGATCTGGGTCATCTATCTCAGTATGGAAGGATCCATGGCTCCCAACCACTCGCCCGAGACCAGCAAAGCAAAATCAACAACCTGGTAATTCGGATTTTGTAGACGACTCTCTCACTGTTGATTCTCTAATCAACACGGAAACGCGTACTTGGAATATGGAGATTATTCGGGCTCTGGTAGAACCTCAGGATGCGAAGATAATAGGTAGCATTCCCCTGAGTAGGAAAACCTTTGATGATAGAGACGGATGGCATTTCACCAGGAACGGAAAATATACTGTTAAATCTGGATATCAAGTCCAAAGAGTATATCCGGATAAGGAGAAGCCGACAATATTTACAGGGCCTACAGTGGATTCTTTGAAAGCATATTGTTGGAAGGTAAATTGTCCCCCAAAGATGAAGCACTTTTTATGGCAATTGCTTTCGGGATGTATTGCGGTTAAGAAGAATTTACAGGCACGAGGTTTAAAGGGTGACATATATTGTGACAGATGTGGTGCTTCGGAGGAATCGACGAATCATGTTTTCTTTGAGTGTCCACCAGCAAGGCAAGTGTGGGCCTTGTCAAAGATTCCTTTGAACCCACGCACTTTTCCTACTGATTCGCTGTTTACGAATATGGATCATTTGTTTTGGAGAGTAATTCCGAAGATGGAAGATCATCAATTTGCATGGATATTGTGGTATATCTGGAAAGGGCGAAATGGTAAATGCTTTAGTAATTTGGATGTTGATCCGAAAGAGACACTTTCTCTGGCTGAGACAGAGGCTACTCTATGGAAGGAAGCTCAACCAAAAACAACTCCGGACACGAATCAACCAGAGAGAGGTATCACTTTACCGACCATTCCTGGGCGCTGGTGTTTTATTGATGCTTCATGGAAGGATAAGGATGAGTTTGATGGACAGGGTTGGTATAGTACTCTCGAAGGTTTTGAAGGTTTAATGGGAGCACGAAATGTCAGGGCAAGTCTTTCACCTCTACATTCGGAATTGGAAGCACTTATATGGGCAATGGAAAGTATGAGGAATTTGCGTCAATATTGTGTTACATTTGCAACAGATTGTTCTCAATTGGTGAAGATGGTTTCGGAACCAGANATGGACAGGGTTGGTATAGTACTCTCGAAGGTTTTGAAGGTTTAATGGGAGCACGAAATGTCAGGGCAAGTCTTTCACCTCTACATTCGGAATTGGAAGCACTTATATGGGCAATGGAAAGTATGAGGAATTTGCGTCAATATTGTGTTACATTTGCAACAGATTGTTCTCAATTGGTGAAGATGGTTTCGGAACCAGACGAATGGCCAGCTTTTGCAAGCTATTTGGAGGATATCACGACGCTTCGAAGGAGTTTCAACAGCTCAACAATTATCCATGTATCAAGAACTTTGAATTCAAGGGCGGACAGTCTAGCACGGAGTGCAAGGAAACAATCGTCTTTCGTTGTTCACATGGATANGATGTCAAAAAAAAAAAAAAAAAAAGCAATCATTAGAAAAAAAATAGAAAATATAATGATCTATTTATCTACACCTTGCCAAAAAAGGAGCAAAAAACAATGAAATTGAATTAAAATGATTAAATACTGCACTTACAACCACTAATGATCGTCTGAACGTGTTTGTGTAGTGATATGGATGGATTCAAACCCTCTTCTCCTACTCGACTTGTTCTCCGTTTCTCTTCGTCTGCTGTTTTTTTTAAAGAGAAATATTGGATTCTTGAAGAGATGGTACAATTTTTATTGCACCAAATACTTATAATCTATTTATGATATCCCGTAACATTTGCGGAGATAACGACATTAATTACCAAATATTTTCCCAAATATCAGTATTTAAACCATTCATTTAATTCTTTCCATTTTTACTACTAAGGGATATTTACCCAAATATCACTATTTAAACCATTAACTAGATCTTGACCCGCACAACCGTGCGGGTATTTTAATTCGAAAATATTTGAAATTATATAATACTCACTCCAATTTAAATAAATAATGTTTTAAAAGATTTATTTTATTTCAAACTATAACATGTTTTGAGATTTTAAGGTATATTTTGAGGTTTTAAAGTTATCTTTAACTTTATTGGAAACTGTTCAACCGATAAAAATTTACTCTTTTTAATAATTGGTTGAATGATTATAAAATTATATCTTTAAAAATACTTTTCTAAAAGAATGTAAATTTCTTAATCTTTGTGCAATGATCCAAAACATCATATATTAACAAACGAAGGGAGTAAAATTTATCAACAAATAAATATAATTTTATTGTATATACTATCCAATTTTATAATAATATTTTATGTGGCTTGTAATATTATTAATTTAAAATTTATAAATTTGTATTTTTGTAACAATTTTTAAAAACATTATAATGTAACATTACTAATTTATATATTTTGTTTTATTTCTAATTTTAAATATATAAAAAAGTAAATTAAATTGGACCTACATAATACGTAAACAATATTTTGGGATATTGTTAAAAGTATATTACATAATTTTAATTTTGTGTTTACAAATAAAAAAATGAATTAAAATTTTATTTATATTCTATGATAATTAATTTTTTAATCAAATAATTTTGAAACTATATCTTGAAAAGATTCTATAAGATTTTTAAAAGATTTTGTTAGAATTTTTTAAAATTATTTATTTGTATTTCAAATAAAAATTAAAGATATGAAAAGATATTATTATGATGTTATGTAAAATTTTATAAAATTTCCAAACTAAAAAATCACATATGAAGTGAGTCATGACTTCTCTTTTAATATAGTAGATATAATGTAATTCTATAATTTTATTGTTTTATTTATTTGACATTATTAATACATACATATTTGTTTATACAGTTTAACTTGTCATAAATTGTTATTACATAACAAAATAATTTCAAATTTGGTAAATAAATTAATAATTTGAAATAATCAATCGGTAATCGTTTTCAAAATATTTTTTATACGTTTTATACATTTTTCTACAGTTTGCAAGCAAAATGTTTTTAAATTTTATTTAGTTATACAATAGATACTTGTTTAGGATCATTTATATTTCCTGGTTGTGTTTAAAATATATAATTTAGCATCTATAATTTTAGTATATATAATTTTTTTATAAATAATTATATGGCTATATTCAAAGAATTTAAACTAATAATTACGAATTTGATTAATGCATTATTATATAAAAATATTTAAATTTATTTGTAAGATTTTGTTAGATTCTTTTTAATAGAATTTATATAGTTAGAAATAAAATTAAAACAATTTTGTAGGTGAAGTTGTTATATGTGTTGATTAAATAAGATGTGATATTTTAATGATGTCAATATGTGTATAAAAATAAACGAAATAAGATTTTCTAAGGAATGCCCATTTTTAAAAAATATCATACATGAATAGAAGTGGTGACTTCTCTTTTAATATAATAGATTTCATTCTTTCCATTTTCACTAATAGTAATTATAATCATAAATCTATCAATACTTATCATTTTCTTAATGTTTTTAAGATTTTATTTTACTAAGAAATGAAACTATGCTACTCAAAACGCTAATAAACCTACTATACCTGACCATAATAGATAACTAAATTACTAAAAAGCAAAAGTAAAATCGAAGGAAAGTGTATTCAAAGAAACATAAAATGTCTCAAATAGCAAAGGTCTGAAGACTGGAATAAAAGATGGCAAAGTTATTATTACGTAAAGAAGAAAACATCACTTAAAATGCAACAATAAAAATCACTGCATATGAGGATAGGTTGTGGCTACATAAGCCACTTTCGGCACGCTTGGCCTCGTCTGATCCAAGACACTCAGTTGCTTTTCTAATCCTCTCACCAACAGAATCCCCAACACCTCATGAAGGTCCAGAATCATCACCTCCAGTATTCAAAGCATCATCGGAAGTCGCAGTCGCAGGAGGGAGTATCTTTGTGACAATAATGGCATGGATCTTCTCTGTCAGATTATGCTCCGAGACCTTCACGATGAATCTACGTGTCTGCCCTATTGCATCAAGTAGGGCTTGCAGCACAGGCACGCAATGGTCTGCTCCTACACCCTCATTAGCCTAGCATCCAAGAAGATAAATATAAGTTTGGGAATATTGGGCTATGAAGACAGATTCAGAATTACCTCAAAGTAGTTGGCAACCACTACGAGCACGAGGTGGTTTTAGTGAATTCTTTGCCAGCTTCACTAAGAATGACAACAACTGATTGTTCACTCTTGTCATAAACAGAAATCTTTGTGAGATATCTGCAACGGGAAAAATAAATATTCGGATGGGAATAAATAGATGACAGTGCATGCACCACACTTACTGAGGTACGCCTGTAACTTCGTTCCTCTCACACTTTTTATTGTTACAAATCAGGGAAGTAGGCCCTTTCATAGGCTTACTATTACACCCTCCACAGGAGATGTAATACCAAGCAGAACCCTGGATAACATCATGATACAGGCTGGAAACCAGCTTGCACAAAGAGAGTATTGGAGGTTCCTGATGGGTGGTTCCGGTACAGCGATGAGGGCTTGTGGGAGTGAGTGTGATGGCTGAGAAATGTACCTGAAATAAAAGGAATGATTTTTATGAGTTTTTCTATGGTTTAAACAAGATGAACAGAAGTAAATAAACAAAGTAAAAGGGATAGATAAGGTGGAATTAAGCTGCTGGTCGTGTGACACTCTCAGCCTAATCGGTTGATGGACTTGAAGTGGAGTTGCGGATGAAGCTTTGATTGAATCTCCCAATCGGGTGGGATGATGGATCAATGTGATTGACTCTCTCAACCTGTGTACTGATCTTGTTTGATTTGCACAAACAAACTAGACTCACGAAATCAATAAGACTACAAAGAATCACACTTTGAATCCTAAAGATCGATATTTTATGCAAAGAACAAACTTTGATAAAAACTGAAGAAACTTCTTATAAACTTAATTGGCTGAAAGGTGATTTCTACAATGGACGTCTAGGAGCTTATATAATTCTCAGAGACAAGGTTGTCAACGTTCTAAACAAATAGAAAAGGAAAAGAATAAAAAACAAAGCAAGAAATCGAAAACTAGCCGTTGGAGCATTTAGTGTGATTCTTGGCTCCAAGTGAGGAACTTGATTCTTTTTGAACCTGGACGGTTTTAATGGATAAGAGAGCTTCCTTGGGACCTTATGTATTGCTTGGAAGCTGCTGGTGTCGTGCAATAACTCTTGGCAAAAGAGCTGTTCGAGTTTTAATGGCTGAGACTCCAAATAAGGAAGGTGGGATAAATGTGGATCCTCATGATCCTATGTGGGCTGGTGCATGGTAGGAAGTGATGGAACTCCTCTGGCTCGTGGATAAGGTCTTCTGGATGGTCTAGAGTATCTCCTGGCTTCCATAGAAAGGTTTGGGTCGGACCAAACTGAATTAGGTTAAGCTTCTCTTTAATTGATGTCGGTTTGGCAATTTGGTGCAAACCGGTCTTCTCCTCTGGTCTGATTGAGATCCTCCTGATCCCATGGGTGCTGGTGCTTCTTAATATGTTGTGGAGTGTCTCTGAATGATGTAGAAGCTCTTCTGGTCGTCTTTCTTCAGATTGGGTTAAGGCAAAACCCGGATCTTCCAAATAAGGCAAGTGTAGGACTGGTTTGGCCGGTTTGGGGAAATTGATCATATCTCCTGGTTTACGCGTCCTATTCCCTTGGTTTTGGGCTCTCTGGAAAGCTGACAAACTTCTCTTGATTTCTATGATCGGTTTTGGCTCGGTCCGTTCCTTCTTTAGGCTTGAAACTCCTTCTGAAGTCGAGTGATGCTCGCAGATGAATGGGCTGGAAAATCTCTGTCTTGAAAAATTCATAACTTCTTCTTCCGTGGGTATTTACTCGAAATTTAAGTTGGGACTGACTTCTTCTTGAGTGTAGAATCCCTGAAAATTGGTTTCATGATTTAAACCCTCCTGGTTTAAAAGATATGGCATTTTTATTGCACATATGTCCTGCTTGGCGCCTTGGTTGGGTGAGTGGTGTGTTGGATGGACCTCCGGTTTAGCTACTGGTTTGATGGCCGCATCACATCATCTATAGTCGCTGTGCATTCAAACCAAGCAACCTTCAATTGGAAAAATTAAATAAAACTCGTAAAGACACAAGTATACAACAATGCTGTGTTCTCAAAACGGCCCTCGTACCTTTGAAGTTCCCAGCTTGATGTAGGAGAATAGCTCCTCTAAAGTCACTGGCTTAGGCTTAGTGACAACCTCTGCATTCACCCTATTAGCAATATCTGAGTTGGAACCCAACCTGAGAAATTAAAACAATATGTTACAACTCAAGTTAGCTAAGTGCATATAAAAATTATCTGAGGTAAAAAATAACCACCATTCAAGATAGTCCTTAGTAGACTGGACATCGGTGTCCATGAACACTCGAGATGACGCCATCGATGTGAGAGCTAGAGTCCCTATTCATAACACATAAATGAATTAGTAAAACCAAACATACAAGAACTAAAATATTTAAAATAAACTTGTCCCATCTAACATAAAACAAATGATTAATACAAAAGACTCTGAATTAAGTCAGATAATAACAGAATCAAAAGGGTCTAACATGATATATCAATGGCTCATCAATATTACCACAAATAGTCCTAAATATAAACGCATATATCTAATTAAATAACCCCACATATTTGCTAATCATACAACGATCATGTTTTCAAATTAAAAACTAACCTCCAAGATGTTTAGGGTTTACAGTCGTGACCAAGAGCACGCTTGGAGTTGTTCCATACGTCTTGAATTTCTGGCAGAATTCGACTGCAGCATTGTCCCAAAGGTAGAGCTTGATCACTGGATTGCTACATAAGATTAATAATAATGAGTTAAAGATAACACACAAACAAAGCGTCGAACAGTTGGACAAACTTACTCATGTGTCTGTACATGAACGCATAGATACTGCTTCTCTCCTAATGCAGCTTCGTCAAGAACAATATGATCAGTGATAGCCTGATCGTCAATCAGCTTTATGTGTCCAACATAATCTGAGACACAATAGTTTAAATCCGCAGTCATCAAACTTATTTACTGTCTAACCACATATCAAAGATGAGACATAATAATTCAAGCTGCGAGTCACTAAACCTATATATACACTCTAATCACATATGAAACCTGTGACAAAACTGATTAATCGGTTGGTTACTAAATACAGGTACTCTATATATTTATTTAACAAAAACATCAACTGTATCTAACAACTTATCTAACAAAAACATAAAAATTATATATCAACAACATCAAGATTATTCAGCAATATATCACATACAAAACCTATCAATTAGATTTACATATCATACGAAAAAAACATCAAACTCATATATCAAAATCATAAGACTTATCTAATGATATAGGACATACCAAACGTATTCGAACATATCTTACCAAAAAGGTCACCTCTGCTGTCACAGTTGGCCTGAAACTCCGTGTAGTTATGGAACCTGAACCTATCCTCATCAATTCGGACTAGTGGGTTCTCAATTATCGATAACTGAGAATTCCAGGAGAATGAGATGGTGGCAATGTGATCAGTAACACGATAATTAGGTTTGTTTCTGGATCCGAAAAACTTCTTCAGACTGTAAACAGAACCGGGTATCAACTTATATGTTCCAACACGCCCCGCCGGAACAAAACCCTGAATAACAGTTCCCTATAAAACAATCAAAATTAGCGATTATAAGCAAATCCCATATCAATGTACGAAAATCAAAGCAGAAAAATGAGGAACAGAAATTCCGATTAATAAGAAATAACATATCAATGAACCAAAATCATAGGAGGAGATCTAAGGGGAAAATTTGTGGACGAATCTCTTTGTTGATTAGGAGCATCTCCTGTCCGATGAGGGTCTTCGATTTTGAATTCCGAGCCTCCCATATATGAATGAGACGGAAACGTAAAGCAGCTTCATGTGGTCCGAGCGTAACATCTCGAAAGAACATCACCTGGTCGCTTTGCATGGAGGAGAGAGCGACAACATCGTTTGACTTCATCGCAATTGCATGTGTAACATCAGTCTTGTCGTTAGACTTCATCGCATGCGCAGAGGAAGCAGAGGATTTTCCGTTGGGTTTCGAAGCCGCCGATGACGCGACGGTCTTGTCGCTGCCCTTGCGGTCGTCGGTGACGGGAGAGGTCCTTTTGGAATCCATAGAGAGAGGAAGACGTTTGAGATAAAAACTGAGAGAATTTTCTCAGTTGTATAAATAAACAGAGGGAGTGGAAGCTCAAAAAATCCATTGAATGAGATCAGGTACAGACTTGATTAGTAGATAAGTAGAGATGTTATCTGAAGCGGATCAAACAAAGAGGAATGGAAAATGTAGAAGTCAGAAAGAGAAATGGAAGAGACAGAAGTCGGGAAAGAGATTGTCGCCGCAAACATAGTGTACGAGAAACCAGAAAAAAATTTGGGTCTAGGTTAAGCTTATTGGGGCTTTAGCATAAAGAAACCCAGATAAAACCAAAAAACCAAAGCCCAAAACGAGGCAGAAGGAGGATGACGTGGAAGTTTGCTGGAACACTACTGGACGATTATTTATTCAGACGTGGCACATCTAAGAGTGCAGCATATCGGGCTTTTAGTATAGTTAGATTTTAATTTTAGGACTGTAGCTTTAAATTAATTTTCTAAAGCATGATTGATTAAAAAAGGTGGTTGGAGAGCACTCACATCACTTACCAATCATTGTGTCTCCGAAATCCGAATCTGTATGTTGATAATACTAGGTGTTTTGCCCGCACTTGCGGGCTTAATAATTTCCTAATATCTATATTCAAATATAATCAGTTTAAGTAAATTATAATAAATTATTGTTCATACACTCCAAATATTTAATAATAATCTAAACAAATTCTTTCTATATATAAATTTTTTCATCATCAAATAAATAATTGTCATACACAAATTAAATGTGAAAATATTCATAAATTTAAAATATTTAGTAATAAATTAATATCATTTTTAGACATAACAAAAAAGTATTATAAAATTATCTTTAGTAATGTAAACTATCTATACATAAATTCTTTGCGAATTATTTTTTCATAACTAAATATATATTAACAAATATAATTATTTTTCAAGGTTAATACAGACTTATAACAGAATTATAAAAAATTAGATAATGATAATTATCAAATTCATGAAATTCGTTTTTAAAATTAATTATATATTAACAAATATAATTATTTTAAATATAATTATTTTTAATGTTGATAAAGACATAATATAAAAAAATTAAATAAGGATGATTATCAAATAAATGAAATTCATTTATAATTTATAATTAATGATACATTACTAAAAATATAATTATATTTCAAGGTTAATAAAGATTTTATAACCCAATATAAAATAGTTTTAGATAAAGATAAATCTAAAATCATTGAAATTCGTTTTTTACTTATGTTTAATTATATAATGAATTTTTTAATTATTATATAGTAATAAATCTTTTTTTGGTCAAATGGTAATAACTATTAGTCATTATATAGTAATAAATNATATAAGAATAATTTTATTTAGTCATTAATTAAGGATAATAATTAATCATTAATCAAAATCATAAAAACATGATAAAAGAATTATAATTACATAAAATCATGGAGAATATGATAAATCAGCAAATTCACCTTTTTAAATATAATTAATTTATTGTTATTTATATATTAATTCAGTTTTAGTTTATGGTTTATTAATATCCACTATTTTTAGATAATAATAGTCATCAAATCAGTGAAATTTGTTTCTAATTTATGATTGATTATATGTTAATTAAATATATTTTCTGATAACAACACAATATATATAGGAATTATCTTTTTATTCTATTTTATTTTTAAATATATATATTTAAATTATGGATAACTCTTATCATTATTATTAATTTAAATCATTTATCTAATCAAATAAATATAAACTCGTTTTTTTATATTTTTGGCTGATTTATATATTTTATCCATTAAAGGTATAAACGATATTAATCACTACAACTTTTAACGTGGAAGCTCCGTTGCGAAAAATCACTTTGCAAATTTAAGTGAATTATCTGATTTGTAATTTCTCCATAATTTAGATAATTTTGATTATTTGTCATATTTTTAATAATTTCATATAAAATTTATTTTAAAATAAAAACGAATTTATATTAATAATTTAATATTTTTCTAAAATAAGATAATTCTTATGTATTATGATGTTATGTTGAAAATATATTTCCTATTATAAAACTTGATAGTAAGATATAAAAATTATACAATTAATAATTAAATATAAATCATCAAAGCAATTATTTGAAAAGTGAATTTGTTGATTTGTCTTCATGTTCCTAGATAATTTTGATAATTTATCAGAATTACTCTAATTTTTTTATTATTGATTATATAATTAAAACTAATTTATATTAACAATATGATATTTTAGAAAATAAGTTAATTCTTATTTATTATGCTGTTATCTCGAAAATAAATTTTTCTATTATAAAATTTAAAATTAACATGTAAAAAAAACCTATACAATTATTTAAAAAATAAATTTAATTCTTGTTGATTTGTCATATTTTCCATGATTTTAGGGAATTTTTGATATTTTATCCTAATTTCTCTAATTTTATATATAATTTATTATATTTTTAAAACAAATTTATATTAATAGCATCATATTCTTGGAAAATAAGATATTTCTTATGTATTAAGTTGTTCTCTTGAAAATATATTTTTCTATTAGAAATTTAAAATTAAGATATAAAAAGTTGTAGTTATTTTGTAATTGAAATAAATTTACATTAATAATACATAATAATTAACTTATTTTCTAAAATATCATATTATTAATACAAATTAGTTTTAATTATATAATCAATAATAAACAAAATTATATAAATTCTGATAAATGATCAAAATTACCTAGGACCATGGAGACAAATCTCAAATTCACTTTCAAATAATTGTTTTGATTATTTATATTTAATTATTAATAATATAATTTTTATATCTTAATTTTAAGTTTTATAATAGGAAAATATATTTTCAACATAACATCATAATACATAATAATTATCTTATTTTAGAAAATATCAAATTTTTAACATAAATTCGGTTTATTTATATTTAAATATTCAATTATTAATAGAAATTCGTTTAAGATAAGTATAAAAGTCTTTATATCTTAATTTAAAATTTCAGTTTTATAAAGAAAAATATATTTCAAGATAATAACATAATTCAATAACAACATAATTCACAAGAATTATCTTATTTTCTAAAAATATGATATATTCTTATAATTTGTTTTATTTATATATAAAATATATAGAAATAGTAAAAATTTGATAAATAAATAAAATCACCTAAACTTATAGAGAACATGACAACTAAGCAAATTTATAGAATATAAGATAATTCATATAAATTCGTTTTATTTATAAATAATATATATATATATATAAATATTAAAAATATGATAAATAAATAAAATTACCTAAACTTGTGGAGAACATAACAACTAAGCAAATTTGCTTCTTAAATAATAGTATAGAAGATTCGTTTTATTTATAAATAAGATATATATAACTATTAAAAATATGATAAATAAATAAAATTACCTAAACCTATGGAGAACATGACAACNAAATAAATAAAATTACCTAAACTTGTGGAGAACATAACAACTAAGCAAATTTGCTTCTTAAATAATAGTATAGAAGATTCGTTTTATTTATAAATAAGATATATATAACTATTAAAAATATGATAAATAAATAAAATTACCTAAACCTATGGAGAACATGACAACTAAGAAAATTTACTTCTTAAATAATAGTATAGATTTCCAAACCACATTTACCATTTCGGTTCGGTTCGGTTTGATTTTAATTAACTTTGGTTTTACATGATCAGTGGGTATAAATTATGGCGTGAGTAGTGGGTATAGATATTTACGTTATTTATTTAGGGTTGTGGAATTCACCACCCAAGCAGAGCAGCCATGGAACATTCACAACCATCTCTCTCGCGACATGGACTTGACCTAGATCAAGCCGGGAACTGCACAGCAGCAACAACCATTCCTTTCGATCTCATCTTCGAGATACTCTCTCTACTTCCTGCGAAATCGCTATTCCGATTCCAGTCCGTGTCAAAGCAATGGTTCTCTACCATCCGCAGCAAAAGTTTTGTCGACTCGTTCCAGACTAGGTCAAAGACTCGTCCTCGTCTCCTTCTCACGCTGTATCGCAGAGATGCTGAGAAGAAATTAATCTTCTCGGCTCCTGAACACACAGACGATGATAAATCCTCCTCCAGTTTCAGTGTCATGGCAAGATACGACACGACCATCTCGGATGCGGACGATACGTTCTATGGTTCTGCCAACGGTTTTGTCTGCTTCATAGGTGCTCGTTGTGATCCCACTATCACCATTTATAATCCCACTACAAGACAAGTTGTGAAGTTGCCAGAAGTTAAACCCAACGGAAGATACATGAACGCAGGTCTTGGGTATGATCCAGTTGAAGATCAATACAAGGTGTTTTGTGTGATGATGTTCGGCTCTGAACAGGAGCATTTCGTTTGCACTTTGAGTTCATCTCAGAAACAAGAGTGGAGAAGGATCGAGAACCCGCTCGGAGATAATTACGATTATGTCTACTCCGGACAGACATGCATTGATGGTGCTCTATACTCTGGAGTTGGTCTTCAGATAAGAATAGTTAGGTTCGATGTTAGATCAGAGAAGATTGAGTTTATTAAAACACCCGAAGAATTATACCTTCCCAGTCTTATAAATTACAAGGGAAAATTGGGCAGTGTAAAATATTTATGTTATTCTAGCACAGAAGTTTTGATGACACTGTGGGTTCTTGAGGATGCTGGGAAACAGGAATGGTCGAGAATGAAGTTTGTTCTACCTTATCAGTGGGAAGATGTCTTTAGCCCTACACTGTCTAGAGTAGTGATCCATGGGGGGGAGCTTATGGTGTTTGATCCATGCTTACAGTCATCTGAGCCTTTTTATGTTTGGTGTTGTGATCTTAATAAAAAGAGTATAAGAAAAGTCGAGATCAGAGGACTGACGGATGGTCATTTCAGACGTATAACCGGTGAGATGTTATGTTATCCAGGTCACATTGAGAATATTAGGTTCTTGTAAGTGATTCATTATTATTATTATTATTCACTGGTTCATTGTTCAATATTTTCTTCCATTCAACTTGATTGCTACTTGATTATGATCTGAGTTTGTTAGAAACTATTAAATTCATGGAAAAAAAATATTTCTGTTTGTTTTAAGAACTTGGGTTGGTTTTATCTATCTTGTATGATTGCTACTTATCTTCAAAAACTTGGCCAAGCAAAAACCTAATGTATTGTGTATCTAAAGTGGTGTAGATATTAGATAAAACGAAAAAAATGAATTGTGGTGCCGAAAAATGTGTGGTGTTCTGATGAATGGTGCATTACAGTCTCTAGTCGATCGTAGATAGAGTTGATCTTGCAATCAAAACCAGAGATTATAAGGTGGAGCAGATGCTTATTCCTATAGTTCAAAAAGGTATCTGTGTTCGATACAAACTAGAAGTCTAGAATCCACCCTTTCACACCAGAAATAGCACAATTTCATTTGTCAGTCCAGAAAAGAAAGATACATTTCTTTGATAATCTTGCCTGAAAAAACGAGACGTCTTTGGGTTCTCATCTCTTTCTCTTGAAACCGGCGCTTCGTCCTGCCTCCTTCTTCTCAGCTTCTACGTCTTTGGCTTCTCATCTCTCTCTCTGCCTAAAACTGTGGCAGCTACACAACTTTTTGTTGTTGTTAGAGCTTCTATACTTAATCAGTAATAAAACTATTGTTTTCACACATATATGGAGCATACATATTTGTTTTAGACTTAAAATTTACAGTAACAATAAACAGCAACAAACGGTAGATGTTGCCTGAGAAGTTGTGATGGCATTCACAAGATTGGACAATTTCTGAAGAAAAAAAGACATTCCAAAAACAGAAAAAGATCGGGAAAATAGCATAAAAAACCTTCAAAGTGACACTCACTAGCATTTTAAACCTTGAACTTATTTAACTATCATATTAAACATTCAACTTGACTTTTGTATCACAAAAAACCTTCAACTTGGTTTACTTGTTCATCAAGTTAAAATTGTGACTTGTTAACCTGCAATAGTAGGTCACATGTTGATTTTTTTTTTAATAAATAAATACATTTAACAATTAAAAAAACCTAAATAAAATAGAAAATTACAGAAAAAATTCTAAAAATGAATTTAATAAAAATAAAAATATCCTTGAAAGAAATTTTTTGTTTTAAATGTAAGTTGAGCAAAAAGCTTTTTTTAAGTACAGAAAAATTCAAAATCTTAATTTAAAAAAAAAATATTTTCTTAAGAATTTACAAGTTTTTTATTTTTATTCTAAATGATTTTTTTTTTTGAAATAATGTAAATTTTATATAAATTTATATACACCTCTAAAATGTTATTTAAAAATAAATATCACCACTAAAACGAGCATTTTTCATCATATCACAATTAATAATAACGTTTTTAAATTTTTAAAACGTTTAATTTTGTTGATATCTTTAACGATATTACTTTCTTATATACTGATAACAATAATTTTGACACTATTGTCATTATTGATACTAGATCTTTTTCCCGGACTACGCCTGGGTTTTACCACATATTTAAATTAAATTTAGTTATTTTATAATTTGTATTTTAGCATATCTTTTTTATTTTTACACTATATAAAATATTCTCATCTCTATTATCTTAACTTTTTGTTGTTGTTAGAGCTTCTATACTTAATCAGTAGTAAAACTATTGTTTTCACACATATATGGAGCATACATATTTGTTTTAGACTTAAAATTTACAGTAACAATAAACAGCAACAAACGGTAGATGTTGCCTGTGAAGTTGTGATGGCATTCACAAGACTGGACAATTTCTGAAGAAAAAAAAGACATTCCATAAACAGAAAAGGATCGGGAAAATAGCATAAAAAACATTCAAATTGGCACTCAGTAGCACTTTAAACCTTGAACTTATTTAACTATCATATTAAACATTCAACTTGACTTTTATTTCACAAAAAACCTTCAATTTGGCTTACTTGTTCATCAAGTTAAAATTGTGACTTGTTAACCTGCAATAGTAGGTCACATGTTGATTTTTTTTATTTTATTTAACTAGGTGATTTTCCCGTGCTCATGCACGGTATGAATATTTATAAAAGTAAATTTTTATAATAATTGATTGATATTTAGATTTAGTTTTGAATAAATTTATATGTATAATTTGTATTAATAAATATTATATTATTCTACTTATACATATGACTTTGGATATATTATTGTCGATATCTTTAACGATGTTACTTTCTTATATACAGATAACAATGATTTTGACACTATTGTCATTATTGTTGATATCTTTAACGTACCATTGACGATAAGGTACAGACAGAGACAGTGAAACGTTGATATAAAGATATATGTTGGCTTGATCTTTTATAGTATGAAAATTGTAAACTGAGTGTTTGGAACTGGGGTTTGTAGGTTGGAGCAGCATTATCGATGGTTTACATATCGGGAGCACCGGTTATGTTCGTGGGTTGTGGCCAGTCTTACACTGACCTGAAGAAGCTCAATGTCAAAGCCATTGTCAAGACACTTCTCAAATGATCTTCTCATCACCATCATAATCATCACTACTATCATCACTACAATCAATGTCTTATCCATCATACTTTTATCTTAAGTTCTTGTTTTTGGTTTTCTGATATGAATACAGATTTCTGTGTGGCTGTGATGTTGTTTCCTTAAAACTCGAAAAGACTATTTCGTTGGAGTCGCTACTATCCTATCCCATCTCTTTATATAATACTACTTTTGTTTTGAAATAATTCCTCTTTCCATTTTTTTTTTCCTGTTATTATCATTCACCATGATAATGTTGTAACCAGTTAAGATAAGTAACCAAGGCCGCGTGACTACCTGTCTCAAGCCAACATATATCTTTATATCAACGTTTCACTGTCTCTGTCAACGTTTAATTTTGTTGATATCTTTAACGATGTTACTTTCTTATATACAGATAACAATGATTTTGACACTATTGTCATTATTGATACTAGATCATTTTCCCGGACTACGCCTGGGTTTTCCCACATATTTAAATTAAATTTAGTTATTTTATAATTAGTATTTTAGCATATATTTTTTATATTTAGACTATTTACACTATATAAAATATTACAAAACTTTATAATTTTTATTGCTTTAGGTGACTATAATTTTAAAATTGTTAACATTCATTTTTTTCAATATCAAAAAATACATATAAGCTCGTAAGCATTTCGAACATTTTTTTATTAGTCTTATTAAGCTTCAATTATTCTTTTATAAGTTTTAAAAGAGTTTCAATGAAAATATGATTAAATTAATATATAATTATTACTTTTTTAACATTAAAATCAACAAATGTTGATTAATTTGAGTTGCATTCTTCTCGACTTAGAAGCTCATAGATCAGGAATCAATTATTGTGAGTTTCTTCTTTATCTATATATGTATCATATATCTCGTGAGATAAATCATGAATTATATGTACTATATACGATTTAATTTAATTTTTGTTTTTTGTAGTTGGTGTTTCTTGAAAAAAAAATTCTAGTTTTGCATATTTGTTTTTTCTTTAGAAAGAATGTGTGTACTGTACACATATTCTTGTTTTTAATGTAACTATGTGTTGGAGAATAATATTTTTTATATGTATGTTTTAAAAACACAAGAAATATTATATTGATTTTATACATGTAAACTATTTTCTGAAGCTAAATACTTGTTAGAAGTTAATATAACTTGCCGAAGTTCCACATATTCGTTGCAGTTCCAGTTAGAAAATTAATAAGAACAAAATATTAGTGTCACTTAGTTGGATCTTGGCAAGAAACAATGATAAAAAGAAAAATACATGAATATCAGTAAATATTCAAATCAAAGCTGAGCAAATGACGTTTTCAAAGTGCGATGAACTATAGTCACAACTAAAAATAAATTTTACAAAAAGAACACATCCATATGAACACTTCTTCCCTAGGTAGTACGAAAGTTTCATCAAACATTCGCTTCCCGTTTCGAAACCGTAATTAGAATCAGAAGCTTATGAAAACTTTCAAAATCTCGTTTCTTAAATATTTCCTAAATAATGACATTACACTTCCATTTTGGAATCACTTTTCGGTTTCTAAAACCAAATGTTATAAATAAATAAAAAATATAATATATAAATTAGGTATAAATTAGGTTATTACGTTTTTAATATTATATTAAATTCAAAGATTAATAGTATTGAAATAGAAAAAAATATATGCAAACATTAAAAATAATAGTATAAATTATCTTTGAGCACAATAGTTTTTAAGATAAATTATAATTCAAATATAGTGTGTAACTTATTTACGAAATACTAATACAATTAATTGAATAATATGTTATTATGAACTTATGATTTACATCAAAATTATAAAACGACACTTATTTTAAAACGAAAAATTTATTTTATAATGACAAATAAATTGAAACGGAGAGAATATAAAATAAAAAATATGATTAGTTAACATTTTTAATAAAAAAACTTCAAAGTTGGGAATATATTAAGATAACATACCTTTAGTTTCCATTATATTTTTATAGAGTATACTTTTTGTATAGAGTATACTAAACTTTAAAAATAATGGAAATAAAGTTATCAAAAGGTAAAACATAAACAAATCAAAAACAAATTTGATGTCGTGTTTTTTATTGGTTGTAACACATGTACTTAATTTCTAACAGAGTATATATCAAAATTGATTAGCCTTTACTGATGTCTTATACACCCAACATGTAACCATTAACCTAAACGATATATATACTCACACGCTGAGAATAAGAGGGAGGCATCATCGATTTGAGAATGGAGAGAAAATGATTCATCTGTCTTCTCCGGTTACGCTCGACGGCGATATGATTCATCCTTTGGTCTCTTTCTCTTCTATCAAGTGATCACTTCTCGTTCTCCTCCTCCTCCTCTTTTTCAGCGGCGGTTCTTCACTTAAACCACCTCGTGCTCGTAGAGAATATAAGTTATCCGTTGAGATAGGTTGTTGCTCTGCTAAGACTTTGTAGCATGATAATGTTTCCATGAGTGAGAAGCCCTATGGATACTCTTGTTGAAACATCATAGTCTCTAGTCTCCCTCTCTTTCTATCAATCAAACTAAGCTAACACAAAATTTGGGAAGCTAATGCATAAAGTAGAGTACCTTTATGTTCTTGAAAACTGAAAAGGTTGGGACTGTTTTCATCATCAAAAGGAAGGGTACCACAGAGTAGAGCATACAATATAACTCTGCAACTCCATACATCTACTTCAGGTCCAATGTATAATTTTCCTGATATGACCTAGGAAGAGATGATTCATTAAGGTTTTGAGATAGATACTCATAGACATAAGGAAATAAGAAGACTGGAACTATGCTATAACTAATTACCTCGGGAGCAGTGTAGTTGGGGCTTCCACAGCTTCAGAAAATGACCCTCACGCATACCGAGCCCCAAACTCAGCAATCTTAATATTGCACCTCTCAAGGTTCAAGTATCTATGGACAACCATAAATTATTTGTTCGGTTATGAGTCAAAACAGTAGCACTACTCAAAACTCAGAGAAGGAAACTAAAAAGAAAGTGGCTGTGGGTGAGTAAGAAAAAAGAAAAACCTGCTGAAAAAAACCTCGTCCTCTTGTAATATGTCTTTTTCAACAGTATAGTCAAAGAGCTCTCCGGACTTGGCATCATCTATAACAACCTAAGTGTCATCTGGGATCTCTATGACTTCATATTGGCGAATGATATGAGGATGCATAAACAGTCTGAGAATCTTAATCTCCCTCCCCACTGTAAGGAAGAAAGGAACATACATCCAAATAATCAAAGGCAGGTCATTTAGAAACATACAAAGCTAGAGAGCTTAATGTGTTTACCTTTTTCTTCCATTTGCATGTTTTTGATCTTACGGCGATTGAGGATTTTGAT